AGTATTCTATAATACTAATAATTGTTTTTTACAAAAAAGAAAAAATTATTCTAAATTAATTATGATCTTTCATTTTTTATTCATTTTTTATTTTTAAGGTTGAAGAATATTTTTCTTCTTATTTTATATTTTTCTTCTTATTTTAACCTTATTATCCACTTTATCACTAATATTTCATTTTTTAGGACAATATATGTAAAAACATAAATTTTCTATAAATTTTTAATTTAGGAAATTTTTTTTAAAAACTATTACTATTAGTTTAAAACCCTTTTTGGTCCCTGAACTATTATACGGACTCTCGATTTGGTCCCTAAACTAAAAAAATCTTTGATTTGGTCCTTACTATTTACCATTTTTACCCTGATTTGGTCCTTCTGTTAAAAATCCGATGATGTGTCCCGTTAACTAACGGGAAATGATGACATGTCAAAATATTATGACACATCAATACCATGTCATTAAAATACGTCAGATTTCAGCCAACAAAAAAAAAAACGTGGGGCTCACCTCCTACCAAATCACTATCTTCTCTACTTCTTCCCATTCATACCCTAGATGGCAAACACCAACAGCCGTCGCTGGGTTCTTGGAACCCAGGCGTGGGTTCGAAGAACCCAGGCGTGGGTTCGAAGAACCCAGCAAGCTTGGGTTCTTCGAAGGAATCGAGGCACGGGTTCGAGGGAACCCAGCGCCAGGGTTCGAAGCTGGGTTCTTCGAACTCGTGCCTAGGTTCCTTTGAAGAACCCAAGCATGCTGGGTTCTTCAAGGAACCCAAGCGCAGGTTCGAGGGAACCCAGCGCTTAGGGTTCTTTGAACCCAAGCGTGGGTTTGAAGAACCCAGCAAGCTTGGCTTCTTCGAACCCGCGCCTTGGTTCCTTCGAAGAACCCAAGCGTGGGTTTGAAGAACCTAGCATGCTTGGGTTCTTTGAAGGAACCCAGCCTTGGGTTCTTCAAAGGAACCTAGGCGTGGGTTCGAGGGAACCCAACGCCTGGGTTCGAACCCAAGCGTGGGTTTGAAGAACCTAGCAGGCTTGGGTTCTTCGAACCCGCACCTGGGTTCCTTTGAAGAACCCAAGCATGGGTTTTAAGAACCCAACAGGCTTGGGTTCTTCAAAGGAACCCAGTCTTGGGTTGTTCGAAGGAACCCAGCCTTGGGTTTTTCGAAGGAACCTAGCCTTGGGTTTTTCGAAGGAACCCAGGCGTAGGTTCGAGGGAACCCAGCGCTTGGGTTTGAACCCAAGCCTAGGTTTGAAGAACCCAGCAGGCTTGGGTTCTTCAACAAAAAAATAAATAAATAATTTCTATATTTTTGTGGGTGTTATTTGATGATGATGATGATGAATTGATTGATGAAGAAAGAAAGGAAGAGGAAGGACAAAGGGAATGAGGAATGCCCAGCTAGGTTTGAAGGAACCCATCGCCTGGGTTTGACGATCCCAAGCCCTGGGTCCAAGAAATGAAGAGGAAGGAGAAAGGGAACGAGGAAGGAGAAAGGGAACGAGGAAGGAGAAAGAATTTTTAAAATGTTTATTGCCATGTCACTAGTTTTTGCCATGTTGTCTTTCACGTGGATTAAAATTTTGACATGTCATCATCTTACTGTGAATTAACAGTACAGGTGGAGAGATTTTTAATGGAAGGACCAAATTGGGGTAAAAATGGTAAACAATAGGGACCAAGTCAGGGATTTTTTGAGTTGAGGGACTTAATCGGGGTCCATACAATAGTTGAGGGACCAAAAAGAGAGTTTAACCTTACTATCATGAAAGGAGTTTTCTAACTTGTGTTAAAAGGGCAAAAGTAAAGAGTCACTAAATATGATATCTTTCTTTAAATTTAATAATAGTTTTAATGAGTACTCCTATTTGTTTCAAAATAATTGTCACTTTCAATTTAAGATTTATTTCAAATTAATTGTCATTTTTTCATTTTTTAAGGTAGACACATATTTTTTTTTAGTTTCTTACTTTAATCATATTGTTCCCTTAACTTTAATTATTTATCATATTAGCAACATTATAAGTGATTCTCAAATTCTTAATTTTGAAAAAAAAAAAAAAGAAAAAAAAAAAACAATAATTATTTTAAAATAGGAGGAATAAATAACAAATAACAACTACTCTCTTTTTTTTTTTTATTTGTCCCACTTTGGACTGGGCATTTAGAAATAATTTAATTAGGGAAAAACAAAAAATACAACAATTATTGTTTGAAACACCATATTTCTCCTTAATAAAACCTTTTTATCTTTATTAATACGTTAGAATAATAGCGATAAATTTGAAAAATGAGCATTTAATGTCTTTACAAATAAAAGGTAAAACAACTAACTAAAACCATCCTAATTGAAGGAATAACTAACTAAAAATGCAAGATGTAAAATTTATTGGGGTGTTTGGATTACCATTTCAAAAATAATTATTAATTATTAATTTTAATCAAATATATTAAGTATTTTAAATTATAAATAACGATGATTATTAATTATGAGATACCCGTATGTGAGTTATTAACTTCACTAAATGACTAATCCAAACATCCTATTAATGTAACAACTAAAATTATATTGCTAATAATAACTAAATAAACATATTACTATACTAGAAGTGCGGATATATTTCCTAATACATAAAAAAAAACTATTTATTAGTTAAAACTAAAATTAAATCCAATCTTCATCCAAAAAGTGAGTAATTATAAAGTAACGACCAAAATAAACCTGGCATTAACGAGAAATAATTATAAATTATAAATCATAACACTGGGCTTAATTGAAAATTGAGAGTGCTAGTTAAAAGTGTAATTGTTGTACTTTTTTTACATTAATTAATATTAAAAAATAAAAATTGACTTTTATTTAAATAATTACTCAATTAAAATAATCTACATGTCATTAGTAATAAAATTAATGATAATTTTTATATTTTTTTAATATTAATTCATGTAAAAAATTTAATAATTACACCTTTAATATATGTTTTTATGGTACATGATAAAAACAAAAAACCCATGAAAAAACATTAAAATTGTTTTTGAATTCTCTAGGATCTAGTGGTGGAGCCACATGTAGACCAGGGACGGTGGCCCCCCCTGCGATTTGAAAAAATATATATAATTAATTTATTAATTATTATTATTATTAAAATTTTAAATATTATATTTTTAATTGTTAAAATAAATAAAATAAAAAAATCCAAATAATGAACTGTTTTAGGAGCCTAAATATAATATATATAATTTATTATCAATTTTAACGATGTAATTATTTATTATGATTTAAAACTTGCCCATCTCAAGGCCTACAACTGAATTCTATAAAAAGAAAAAAAAAAAAGAAAGATTCTCGTGTCTTCTACGTCATTTCTCTAGTATCAAGCTCCACTGTTTCAGTGCTAATCTCCTTTAACCAATCAACCTCAACCCAACAACTTCCAAAAAAAAAAAAAGAGACTTCGTTAGCAGCCTGACGCAAGCAACTACAACACTGCTCTCATCATTGAAAGCTTGGAGACAAAGGGACCATCAAAGAAACCACCAACTTCTTAGTAAAGACTAAAAACAACACTATCTCTTTTTATATGAATCATATATTACCATTGGGTTTCTACTTTCAAGTTTTGTAAATTTCTTTTATTTTATTTTAAAATTTTGTCTTATACTTGTTAGTAGATATGTTCTAACAAAAAAATTAATATACTCTCTCTGTCTCAAAATAATTGATATTTTTTATTTAGAATTTATTTCAAAATAATAGTCATCATTTTTTTTAAAGGAAGATAAATGGTTTTTTTTTTCTGCTTTAACCCTATAATTATCTCTTAAGTTTAATTATTTATCTTCTAATTGAAGTATATATTTATTTTTAGTTATTTTTTAAGTATAAAATAGGTAAAGACAGAAATTGTTTTCAAATCCTTCATTTGAAGATAAAACAAAAAATCTATTATTCTAGTATGGAGAGAATAATATTTAAGTAATGAAACTTATTGATTTTTTATTATCACAAAAAATTGTATAATTTCCTTTTAGAATTTAGAGTTGTTGGGATTATAAATAAAATTGAATATTATGATAATATTGAAGTTATATGGAATATAATTGAATCTGAGTAAAAAAAATTGAAAAAAAAAATATATGAACCCAATAAAAGGAAAAACATTGGATATAGTAATATAGAGAAAAGCAATAGGAGGATAAATTAGTATAAAAAGAAGATTCATTAATATAAAGTGTAATTAACTTGTAAAAAGGGAAAAATATGAAAACAACAGCAATTTTTACAATTGTGAAAACAAGAAAGAACATTTTTTACGGCAAGTTAATTATTTTAGTACTTCCTTTTCCAGTTTCTATAGTAACAACAAAAGGAGCATTTTCTCCTATGAAAATTATGAAAATGAGGCTTTGCAGTAAAATGGAAAATAAATTTTTTTCAAACTCTTTGATTATTTAGATTGAAAAGGAAATAGTTCGGTCATTTAATGTAAACTCTATTATAGATAAATTTTATAATATGAAAACTCGTCAAATATTACTTTATTTTATGATATAAAAGTAAGTTTTTAAAATTACAAAACATTATTTTAAAACTTGAAAAGCCGACTCCCTAACTAAAATTCCTCACTCTGCCATTGCCAAGATCGAATTACATGCAGGATTTAAGTATTACATATGATAAATTGTAAGGGCTTTTAATTCATAAATTAATGGGTCAATGAAGGAGAGAAGGTGACAGGGGAAACGGACATGGTGGTGAACAGAAGGACCATTGATACCCATTTTTATATGTTTTGAAGTTATTGTTTATGACGAATTAATAAAAGTCTTATATT